TACAATTTCAGTTAATCAGGAACATGAGCTATTAATAATAATGAAATCATTACTCCTTCAATAAGTTTAATACCTATTAAACAGGTATAATCTAAATTTTACATATGATTATTGTATACATTTTATAATATATATTAAATACATCTATGCTTGTAATTGAATAGGAAACCGGTACTGATGATTCTGATCAAAAATTGCCTTCTCTTAGTGGAACTTCAACATCTATGGATGCAATATCCAAAGTTCTACCAACTCTGACACAAACAGTAAAGGTAATTAATATTATTTACATTTCACCAATAAATTATTTGGATTATATGATTTTAATTCGATAAGATATATTAGATATAAATTATATTTACATACATATATATGTGTATCTGGATGTGCTATCATATTATTTTTACATGCATTACTGATATAATATTAATGGAGATTTTTTTAACTGAATCATCATCTGAGTTTAAAATTTACTATTATTTAGGATACATTATTTTTATCATATGAGTATCTTGATGAATTTTAGCAAGAAAATTAATCTTATGAATTATGAAGAAATTTTCATAATTCAAGCAGAAATTACTTATAAAAAATGCATCTTGCGTGGATTTACTATTTTCATTTACAACCTTGTCATGAAGTTAAAAGTTATCCTACAGTTTGATAATTTGTGGATTTTGTTATTAACTATTTATACCTAAATAATGCTTGGACTATTATGTGCTAAATTCAGCATGTTTTGTTTGATTTTTTAGGTATCTCCTTTGAAATCATTGTTGCGTGAAGATCTAAAACGGAGAATATCGGCTCGTGTTCACAGTCGAAATGCTAACCGATCTATGGAAATAGTCAATACAAGCAGTTCGGCGGCAATAAATGAGCATGAGGACACATTAAACACACAATGGATGTCACAAGGTTCCAGTTCAGGTTTGATGTGTTTGTTTTGTAACATAAATTTTCCAGATCAAACTCTATATTTTCTGCACAAAGGATGCCATTCTGAGAGTAATCCTTGGAAATGCAATATATGCGGTGAACAGTGTAATAATGTTTATGAGTTCAATTCACATTTGTTAAGCAAAAGTCATCAGTAACTGGATTAGCAAATTATAGATTCAAATTTTTAAAATTGAAATTCTAATGTTTAGAATAATTCTTTAGCTTAACAAGTGTTGTATGAAGAATCAGTAAAATTAATAATTATCTGGCAAAGATACCTAAGTGCTCTGAAGGGTGAGTAGAAACTTGTTTCTTGATTATTTTTGCATCACTAATATTTATGTGTTATATCACCAGTTACATTTGATGCTACAGTATTACATATTGATTTGATGATCTTGTATTACATATGATTCAATACATATGTAATACTAATTGTAATGAACAACAATTTTCATCAATTCTCAATCAACTGTGCAACTAATAATTTGTGATAATTTGTACAAATTTCATTTTATTTACTGCATTCCATATTAAGAAAAAATCTAATTCCATTAATTATTAAAATTGTTTTTTATAATCGAGTAAAACCTTTATTAAGTGATGGGCCTTATACTAATAAGTCTACAGTGATTCAACATTCCGTTATTTATTATAAACCTGAAAGGTCGGTGATAAAAAATGAGAGTTTAAAAAACTTTATTATTGCAAATATAATTTGCACCAATTCCTGTTTTTTTATAAGTAAGATTATATATTTATCGACATTTAATGGGATAAATTTGTATTATAAATGGAGATGATTAAACTTCAAGGAACTGCTCCAGAAAATCATGTTAAAATATTTCACACGTCTAATATATTCTTAAAACATGTTGCTCATTAATTAATTATTGAAAATAATAAACAAAAATATATATTATAATAAAAAATAATAAATTCTGATTGAGTAATAAATAGAACTCATTTTATAGTATTGCTTGCAGATATTTAAATCTGTCAGTTCAAATATTAGAATTTGAGAAAAATCTTTGCTAGTGAAGCATTCATTAAAATATTTTGGCTCTGGGGCACAGTAAATTTATTATATAGAAAGTATTTTTATAATTATAGACATGCACATTAATTGTAAAATATGAAGTTTCATGTTCTCCGTCCATAAATATTTTTATAAAAGAAAATATCCAGAAAGGATAAAAAATACATTTTAAATATGAACTCAAAGCATAGATATAATGGAAATAGCAAAGCTACTAACACAATTTTTTATTTATATTTCCAATTTATTAAAATCATACATTATGGCTATTATTGGCATATTTATTAAATGTCTGTTAATAAATGGACCAATTACAGATAATTATGTACAAATATCTTTAAAAAATATGTTTAACTGCTAAGTTATAAAGAAGCATGGATAAGTTGTTCTGAATTATAAATTTGCGATATATAAATTTCCTTACATGATTTAAATAAAAGTGAAGTTTATACACAGATACATATAGCAAAGACTTCTTGCATGTTTTTAATATGCAAATCAGTTCATTTAATTTGTATTTCTAAAACATATTTTGAATATGTGATAGTATTAATGATTTGAAAGTATTTGAACTTTTTGAAAGTAATCTGTGAAATTAATACGTACGTTTATTCCATAATGCGAGTTTATTGCTATGGATGATAGCTTTTTTTTTATTATATCTGTAATTATCATTTTTATTTTTATTGCCATTAACAACTAACACTGTTTATTTGTTATCTACTTTTTTAATAATATGCAAGCAATTCTTTGTTATGGTTTGTACTGGGTTATGTTTAATAAAATAACTTTATTTATTAAGCATGTGCAATAAAAAATGATCACTTTTCAGACTAAATTCACTGCCTTCTAGTAATGTATTATGTTTTTTCATATAATAATTTGAAACATTTTTTGATATTAGTGTTATGAAATTGAAAAGACGCTCAATTATTTCAACATTGAATTGATAATGTTATTTATTTGGAACATAAATTTGTGGCAAATTTTGAATGAATGAATGCGTAATCGAATTATTAATGATCGCAAATCACAAATTAATGAAATCCACTCAAGGCGTTGTTTAGGACCACATAATTCTGTGCTCACAGTGCACTTGTTAATTGTAAGGGTAGAGATTCAAAATCATAGATTTTAAATAGGGACATAAAATATTTTATTCTTGATAAATGGATAGTTATTGTATTCTTATAAGGTATTTAGTAAAATTTATGAAATATCACATAAATGCGTGTATATGTGACTGGTCTATTATTTGAAAATTTACTTGATTATTTGTTCAATTTATTTATATAACTACATTAATAGGAAGTCTCGTTTACATTTTAATGGGAATTATACGGTATAGTTAACATTGTTTTCATTATCGGATAGTAATGGTGTTATGATATAAAATGTGTGACTGAGTGTTGTTAAATAATACTAATAATAATAATCATTGAAACGATAATATTTAATTCTATTAGCCTCATGAGTTATCTAGCTTTATCTAAAGCTTTTGACAAGCTTCTTTTCAACATGAAAGATATCTACTCAACATTAATATATTTTTAGTAAAAAACACATCATATTAAAAATCTATTAGAATATATATATATATATATATATATATATATATATATATAGGGTTGAAGTGTTTTGTATATGTATATTAAAATTATACATACCCAACTGCGTTAATGGTCAATGTTTTCAAATTTACAAAACCGTGGTATGACTCCTACTATAATCATATTCGGTTTCACGAAAAGCTTTTGTTAAATATATTAGCTATTTATTCGCAATGTTTTACATCACATATAATAAATATTGAATAAACAATATTCAATATTCATTATATATGATGTAAAATATTTACATATGCATAGTTGTGAAAGACATCTTGTTCATGTTGTGATTAATATTCATTGAAAACAATCTAAGAAACTTTCAAGTCTTCTATTTTGAAAAAATATGATCATACTTACTAGTACTATTATATTGTTAGGCTAATTTTCTTAGTGTATGCTGAGGCGTAATATCACATAATTTTTAAATATTACTTGATTGTTTTTAACATGCTAAAAGTAGATTAATCAGAGGTCTCTTTTTTGCTATTTAATTCGGAAACATCTTAATTGAAGAAAAAACTCAAGATGAAGAACATTAGGCATATATTATTCAAATTTTCCAAAATAATAAAAATAATCTAATTAAATTAGGTTTTTGTGTCATACATATGAATATCAATATTCATATGTATGATACAGAAATCTAATTATATAATATAATATTAATATTCATATGACACAGATTTATTTGGAAACTTAATTTATTTAGATTATTTTTTTTGGAAAATTTCGATAATATATGCTTAATGTTATATTCATCTTAAAAATTTCATTTCATTTAATTCAATCAATTTGTTTGCTTTTATTTTCCATGTATGTATTCCATTTTTTCAATCTTTTTAAATAACTTATTTCACACAGAGCTTGATATTCGATTATCTGATTTGATGTATCTATGATCTATATCTCCAACGTTTCAATTTTGAGAATTGAAATCAATGGAAATATAGTGTATGTAGAAACGATTTTTGATTTCATTTTTTAGGCGAAAAAAATACATTATCTTCAAGTTCACAAATACTTCAATTTGAATTTGAAATGCATAAGTACAAAACTATGTACATATTTAATTTTTTTCTCGTTCGTTATGGCCTTAACAATATATTAGTATTACCTATATGTATGTTGTGATCAAGCATTTATCACATTCCACATTGTATGCATTTGTATGTTAAATAAATATTCTTTGAGAAAAACTTCGATGGAATTTAAAAAATAAATTAACCAAGGTATTGGTAAAGTCTAAATTTCGGACTTGATACACGTTCAGTGGTTTCCAACCTTTTTCGCACCGCGCCACACCCCACCGCGCCACACCCCACCCTACTGATATTATCAGATTATAAATTGATATGCCATATTATGTATAAAAACTAATTTTCTTTTTGTTTTTTATTCTATAAAATAATTCCATAAATAATAATAAATATACTTTGATAAAAACTTCGATGGAATTTAAAAAAATAAATTAACCAAGGTATTGATAAAGTCTAAATTTTGGACATGGAATACGTTCAGTTTCTAACCTTTTAAGCACCGCTCCACACCCCCTCCCCCCGCTCTAATAAGAATTTTTTTTGACCCCCCTTTCTTCAAAATTTATCAAAAATTAAATTTTATAAAGTCTCAACTGATATTATTAGACTTCAAATTAATATGCTATATTATGTAAAAATATGCATAAAAACTAATTTTAATTTTGTTTCTTATTTATATCAATTCAAAAATTTTGGTTTATTTTCGAAAATAGTATTTTGGAAACAGATTGGGAAACAGTTGCGCCCCCCTTATAACAGTCTAGAGCCCCACGGCTTGGAAACCGCTGCGTTAAGAATAATAATAAAATAATTTGATTTTATTCCAACGAAAATAATTTAAAATTCAATATATTTTTTTAATAAAACGCTAGGTTTTGGTTTACTTTGTGAACCAAATACCAATTTCCCTAAATAAATTTTGGATAATAAGTGATAACCCTTGTATTATAAAGAAATATAAAATTAATCGTACATGCAAAATATAATTTATTTTCGAAAAAATGAAAAATATATTAATTTATTAATTTATAGGAAAAATGAATGTAAAAATTAAATATCTATTTCTAAGTTATTTACAATATAAAAACTGTTTTATATAATGTTGTGTGTTAAGATAATTATATAAAAGGGTCTTTTTTTACATATAAGGTAAAACAATATATTTGTCAGTTATAATTTATTAAAGAAATATATTAGTGTAATATGTTGTATAAATATGCATGAGTGTATTCATGCATATATATTTATATATAAATGTTTAATATCAATTTGAATGAGTATAAATATTTAAGGTTATGGTAAACAATTCACTGTACAGTATTTATTGTTATTTAAAATATAAAATGATATAATTTGAATTCCATATTAAATAAAACATCGTTCCGCTGAATAAAATATTTATTTAGATATGATATAACAATTTCGGCGATGAAATGAAGTTTTGTTTAATATACATAGTATATAAATATTATATATTTATAATATATTGTTATCAAGAATCACCTGAAATATAATGATTTTAGTACAAAACTTAGATTCTATTTGTACAACTTTTAATGGAATCACGTTAAGAGACTAAC